GGGGGGGGTCGTGTCCGTTAAAATCAACAATTTTTTACATGAATTATATTTCATTCCACACTTTAAATGCCAGGACGCTTTCAATTAATGTCTAGTCTATCCATTTGCTATATTTTCTCGTTTGTTTTACTAATTTTTGACCAATTAATAAGCAGTTTGTTTTAGAAATTGATATTCAAATTCCCCGCCATATTTTTATAATTTGGTGCATGCGTAGACGTTTTTCCGCGGTGTTCGTACAGTAGCTCTGTTATCAAGATATGATGCTCTTACTCTGTTATCAAGATATGATGGGCTGGAAACTAAACCGAAGTCATTGTGTTATGTTTTATGTCTGAGTTTATGTTCATTTGTGAACGGTCACGGTGATTGAGCTCACTGTGTTTTCGTGTAATGAAGTGACCGTCCAATAAGGATAAAGCTGTACGCTAGGATAGCTGAGATGAAACGGCATCTCTTTTTGGTTCATTACCAAGCTTTCTACAGACGAGCAAATTTTCTTTGACAAGTTTCATTTGCTCGTGTGTACGGGGAAAAAAACTGACAAAAATTTTCCCTTGCCAAGGAGCCTTGTTCCAAAGTTAGTCATGTCAGTATTTGAACAAGGAAAATTTTGTTCGCGTGTACGGCCGCCAAGGAAAACTTTGCAAGTATACAAGAAATGATGCTTGTGATGTTACTCTGAGTGTATATCCACACCGGGCAAGCTTGAAAAATATGCCTGACCACGGTGGGAATCGAACCTACGACCTTTGGAATACTAGCCCAATGCTCTGCCAGCTGAGCTACGCGGTCGGTTCGAGTATGTGATATTTCGGAACAGAATCTAGTTCCCATTAGATAACATTGATATCGACGGATCTAGATTCTGTTCCGAAATATCACGTACTCGAACCGACCAGACCGCGCAGCTCAGTTGGCAGAGCATTCGGCTAGTATTCCAAAAGTCGTAGGTTCGATTCCCACCGTGGTCAGGCATATTTTTCAAGCTTGCCCGGTGTGGATATACACTCAGAGTAACATCACAAGCATCATATTCACCTGAGTAAATTGCACCAGACACAGAAAAATCATGAGTATACAAGAAATATTTCTATGGTTTTGGCAAACAAAAGGAAGCCTTGACGTGAGATAAATGTTGAACAACATTCCACACACGACTGACACGAGCAACGAAACTTGTGAAGAGAAACTATAGTTGACTGTACACAAGAGAAAATGAACTTGTCAAGGAAAACTTTCTCGTCTGTACTTTTTTACTACAGGAGGAAAACGAAACTGAAGTTTCTTTATAGTTTATACTATTGATAGCTTTATAAGTTCTAAATTGCTCTCTGTAGAGGCACAGCAAGGGTCACCGTTGAATGGCCCAATGTTAATACAAGAGGAAACCAGAGCACCCCCCAAAAAGCTGTGGTGTTTGGTAGATTGGTAGAGTGACTCTACTAGGGTCGTTCTTGAAGTACTCTGATGAGGGACCCCTTTACACTAGCCTAATACGGAATTTATTTGATCTTTAGAAGAGCTGTCTACTGAAGAGAACGCCACAAGGTCCCCTTCACGTTCATCACCGCTGACCACAACCACTGCAGTATCATCTGCCAACACGCTGGCTGCCGTGGAGTGCAGATGATGGTAATGAGTATCGGTGAGAATTTTATCAATTGAAAGATTTTATTTATTTCAAAGAACAAATCTGTATCTATATTGAACTGAATCGCGATGACAGGTTCGTATTTATAATGCAATTCCCAGACTAAAAAATTCTTAGAATGTGGAGGAGGCGAAAAACAATATCTAAGATTAAAGTAATTATATTGACGGTGCTTTTTAACAGGCAGGAAGTGAAAGCTTGAAATAGTTCGATCGAAAATTTAGACCGAATTTAGACCCTGGGGCTGGTTGTTCAAATTCAAAAGCAGGTTAGGTTAACCCTGGGTTAACATAAAGTTCAAAGCAAACATCTCTGCAGCTTGTTTATAAACCTGGAAACATTTTTTCAGAAATCTTGTCTGGATCATAAAGGGCCGGTTGTTCAAAGCTGGGTTGGCTTAACCCTAGGTTAACCTAAAATTCAAAGCAAACTTCCTGACAGCTTGTCTATAAATTTGGAAATATTTCTTCAGACATCTTGTTTGGATCGATAGGAGTTTTCTCCTCTGAGGTTTTGAAATAAACAGACGTGCAGAACAGGTGGGAAATTTGTCTGAGCATGCGCGAGCAAAATGAGTCACGCAATTGAGTGGAATACACGCAACGCGTGTTTACAAAAAGGCACAATCGTGTAAATATTGCCAAATGTTTGTACAAAATAAATGACTGTTTTATGTTGAAAATGGACATGATCTAAATTAATCATACAGAATTTTTTAGTGACGTTCTATTTCAGTACCCTGCCATTGTCTCTGGTGGGCTGTCCGTGTGCATTCGATCTGAAACAGTTGCTACTTTGCTGTCGAAAAATTTCGAATGTTTACATGAAAATAGAGGCAAGTAATGCATTTTACAACCTCGTAAACTGTATGAGCCCCTATTTTTACGCTTATACCTAAGATATCAAATAAAAATACATGAAACAGAGAACATTTTTAGAAAGTTTTATCGTGAGGCCACGGCCAGTTTTTAAAATATCTTTATTTCTGTTCCGGTCATCACCAAAATTACACTAAAGCCGGGCTTGAATATACAACAAATTTTGAATCTCATCAAGTACAAAAATATTTAACGTGTAACCAAAATATGCTCATGAAATCGAAATTAATAGCTAAATTTTCAAACTAGACCCTTCTCGAAGCGGTTTTCATGAAGGAAGTTCACATTTCGGCCTTTGATTCTTGGCAAAAATTTGACCACAACACGTGCGAAGCAACTGGGTCTCAAAGACTCAGCTAAAACATTGTGAGCCCCTATTTTCCTGACGATATGTTTGATACCTACAAACGCCGAAAAGTTTTTTCTTTTCATTTAGCTATATTTGAAATTGAGGCCACGGGCTATTTTTGAGAAAATACAGTTCAAAGTCAAGCTATTTTTACATATTTTCAAAATTTGTCAAATTTCGCGAGCTTGTATTTTGAACTTAGACAGCTGAAGTTACATTAAGAAACATAGGATGGAAAATTTGAGGCATATAAAGTTAATTTCAACTTACATTTCATTCTCATATCACGTCTTTCTTCGTTTATTACGGTTTTAAACAAGCCACAGATCGACGTATACGGTATTTACTCCCATGTTCACGTCGCCATATTAACTTCTTCCAATCACTCGATTACAAAACAAATCATCCCAAAACAAAGAATTCATAGTCGACTTTTAAAAGAATAACCGTTAATTTGTAAATCGTTGAATGGAAAGCAAAAAATCGTCAGCTAAAACAGCTTCTTGCTAACTTTCTGCTTTGTTTTGAATGTAAATGCAATGAGCTTTGTTTCTGCCCGCGATTTTTTGGTCAGCGACGACAAATTTCCCACCTGTTTGACGTGCAGAAATACATGAACTAAAACAGTAGGTTAAATTTTAAACCCAGAGTTAGCACTAACCCACTTTTGAACAACCGACCCCAGGAGTTTTTTCTAACGCTTTGAAATAGACAGAAATACATAAACCAAAACAACGAGTTAAATTTTAGCTCAGGGTTAACGCTAATCGTGCTTAGAACAACCGGCTTAACCACTATTCAAGCTGATCACTTTGTAGGCATTGTTACACGAGCAATTATTACTGTAACCTACAACACAATTTTCGTCAAAGAGCAATGTTATTTAAAAAGTAGTCACAGGAAAATTTAAGCGTGGCCCACGGTTTATTCTGCCGAAAATTTCATCGTATTCAGCCCTTGCAAGTGACGTCACAACACATAATTTGACATAAGTTGTGACATGCTATTTGACTTTCGCCATTTTGGGTGGCAAATGTTTAAAGCTAAATAAAAAGCATACAAACGACGGCGTTAATTAGCCGTCAAAATGTCGCATGTTTACTTCGGTAGAGCTCCAGTTTATCGCTTTTATTTACCTCGCTTAGTACGAGTTCAGAAAGACAATTTTTTGGCAGATTTAGACAGTCGTTTCGGTAATGTCTAAAAGGGATGGACGAGTGGTAGTTTACGAGGTGGTTCCAAAATTGAAATAAGAAGAGTTTGCGTTAGTATTAGGGTTAGTGTGGGGGTTAGGATTAGGTGTGGTGTGAGGGTAAGGTTTAGTATTGTTGCAAGTGACTGGTTGTTGATTCTTTTACGTTTTAATGATCTTAAAAACTGGCGGCCATCTTGAAAACCTGCCTCTAGTCCATCCCATTTAGCCACGACCCAGTCGTTGCCTTTCCTGACCGTCATTTTTGCCACCCAAAATCGTGCGATTTCTTAGCGTGACGTGATATTCCCGCGTGACTGAATTCTGTCGGCAAAGTTGGATACGGGCCATGTTCATATTTCCCTGCGACAACATGGATCTGTCTCCGAAACTGCAATGCAAGTTGCATCCAAAATTGCCTCGTGTAACATCGCCTGAAATTAAATGAAATTGCATTTCTGTGTGCACCGACCCAGCAAAATATATTGGGATGAGTCGGCAATTAGAAATTTGCGGAGAGTTTCTTATTTGTAGAACCTTTTTACAATGGCTGTTTTACCAACAAAAACCCCTCGCGCCCCACCCCCGGACACGCGCCTCCCTTCCACTTAATACTTTTCTGTCAGTAAATGAGTGAGTTCCCCATATATACAGGGTGCCCACGGGCCTTGAAATCCTGGAAAGTCACTGAATTGGAAAAAAATTCCAGGACGGGAAGCCCTTGAAAGGCCTGGAGTTAATTTCCTTAACCTCCAGCTGTACCAACATTAGTGATTTTTATTAAAATTACTGTTTAAGTGAATTATTTACGGCAAATGCGTGCCATTTTCAAAGATTTTTCCAAGTTCTATCTAGGTCCTTGAATTTACCGAAAAAGGGCCTGGAAAAGTTCTTGAATTTCACCTTAACCAAAGGGTGGACCCTGTATATATCTGGAGTGCATGAGAACTCGAGTCCAAAAAATGAAGCCAAGATATGGAGCTATTGGACGTCAGTTTCAGTCCCTTTCTATTTTTGTCTGCGCGGTTAACACGAAGCTGTAAGGAGTGTGTCCAATAGTTTTGTATTTTTCGATTTAAAGAGTGACTCTGTAGTTTAATTTAATGAACTGACAACTTGTTTAGCGATACGGTACATTAGCTGGGGAAATTGGTATTAAAACTGTTCGTATACGACCTTCATAGATTTTGGACGCCAATTTCCTCCAACTTGACTTCACTTTTCTTACAGCCCAAATGATTTATGCCATCTTGCTTTCTAAAGGGGCCGAGACATAGAATCATAGCATAGAATATACCACCATTACCCATGCGATATTCATCCAGCTTTCTGTATAGCTCAGTTGGGAAACATTTCTCTCGCTCTGAAACTCGCATTTTTCTTTGCCGACTTATTCCATTTAATTAAATATCTATCTGAATTATCAAAAAATGTCTTTAAATTTTAGCTCATTCGTTTTACCGTAAACTAAAGGACAGACTTATAAATATATAAATATCGAGGTGCTATGCATTTTTTTAAAAATTTAGTTTTATTGTAAAATAATATGAGCAGTATTATATGCATACACGACGCAAGGGCAGACTTGTGTCCATAATGTTTAATGTAAATAATATAAATATAACTATATTTTCCACCTATTTAAAGGTGAATGAAATTTTAACTTTTTTGTGTCGTCTCTTTGAATTTGTTGATTGCGTTGGAAATCTTGTCTATAATGCCAAGGTTTTCATTTTGTTGGGATATTTAAGTCTCACGTATAGCTCTCGACTTGTACCATGGGCAGAATATCTTCCTAAATTTTGATCGCAAAAATTTTTGGGGAAGCAAACTTTGTTTTCGCAGTGTCTTCAAGAATGAGCAACTTGAGAAACAAAATTTGAAATATATTCCCACAATTTTTGCACGTTTTCTAAGACATCACTCCAGGAATATATATTGAGGTCACTTTTCGAAAATATCTCCACTATTCCGATTGGTCAACTGTGGTTTTGGAAAAATACATTCTGGCGGGAAAATTGTTTTGTTTCTTTCTTGTTTATGTTTTTCATTTTTCAAATTTTGATATTCAAATTAACCTTTTAAAAGTACTTTTCTGTAGGAAAAAAAGCGAGAAAAGGCCTACATGAATGAAGAGGTAAAGCAAATGTTTTTGAAACTCTTAGAGCTTGAAAAAGAAGTACGAATATCATTTTCGTTTTTATATACACTGTAGTTATTAAATTGTGTTTTACTTTTGAACTATCTTTACTTAATATTCTCCAATTCTTTTAAAAGCTTTCGAAATGTCCAACAATAACAGGCGAAGAAAACGGGACTGTCAAGTTTTAAATGTGAGTCAATTTTTATGTAAATAGTTTTTATATCTAAACAACATTAATTTCAGCAATTAATAGACAAGCAATTTTCTAACAAATGTTATTTCTTTTGATTACATGAATTTCTTTTATAATCCATGGCAAATAAACAACCACTATGTTTGGTTTCATTTATAATTTACATGCTTCTGTAAACGTTTGCACTGCAACCTGCTACATCAGTTCGTCTTGTTTTGTTTAGAGAAAAGAGCTGTATGAAAAGTACATCCCTCATATAAGTCGGGATTTTGCAAAAATTGTTGACAAAAGCAAAAACAACGAATTTAAACAACGCTGTCAACAGCTTCTTAAGGTAAACACTAAACAGATAAAACACTAAAATATTTCAAAACAGTAGCGTATACAATTTTGTGTTCGATGGCTCTGACCTCGAAATCTAACTGGACTGCCCATTACATTAACCCCACAATCATGCACGTGCAAAATAGACATAATAGACAGATTTAGAAAAGACGACGCGACCTCAAAGACGACGTGAAAACGACGTATGCACCTCGCGTTCACTTCCAGGTTTTAATCTGGGACGGCTTGTTTGTCTTTTTCGAAGCAAATTTTTGTTTTCTTGTACCAGCCCATTCCATTTAGATCGCGGACGTCAAGGACGACGTGAAAATGGCGTGTTGTGCCCATGTATGGATATGCCACGCCATACATAGTCTTTGACGTACTCGATCTAAGTCTGTCTATTATTGAGACAAGAACGTCATTGTCAGTTTCCCCCTCAGTCAGCTCAACAATGTCACAGAATATATTCATGCAAGTGAAAATAGTCCTTTGAAAGATACCAAAACGAGGCTAGGCTAACCCTGTCTACTAAATCTAACATAATATTCGGTATTGTTAAGTGGTAACATTTAAATTCTCAAAGGAATTCATGATATTATCTTAAGTTTATAATTGAGTTGGTTGAAAGTAATTTCAGAAGAAAAATTAGAAGTAGTTCTCGAATCGGTCAATAGTGTTGTGACAATGTAAATTACGCTGCGCAAGTTGCATTCGCCTTGGCAAATTTTTGAGAATTAAAATAAGAGTCATGAATTGTCTCTCTTTAAACAGGTCGATGATCCAAGCAAGATTCAAGAAGCAATAGCTGCCCAGTTGTTCAAGTTGACTCTTGGCAACCAGTATAATGTAAATGTGTCTCAGAACACCCAGGTGAATCTAGTTCAAATGAATCAAATAGATGTATGTGAAAAC